CAGGAGCTGGCTGCCAGCCTGGCCGCACTGGTCCAGACCCAGCTGTGGATGGTGTACCAACGTGCCCCAGGTGACAGCCACCAACAAAAGCAGACAGGCTTCGTTTGTGAGCACAGACAACCATCATTAACTGCTTGGGAAGTGGGCAAGGGGCTGGGCGTCTTCTCTGAAGCTCGGCCTAAGGTTAGGGCTTGTGGAGAGACAACCCAGAACTACAGCTGCGCTGGGGTAGGGGGGCTGCAAAGGGACTGCCAAGGGGAACGGACAGCTACGGAAAGAATTTGCTCCTCAGGAATTGTTTTTGTCTGTTGAATCGGTGGGTGCCTCATCTAAGGCTCGGCCTAGGGCTAGGTTAAGGTATAGGGTAGAAAAAAGAAATTTCACCAAGTGTGCCCTGGTCAAATCCTCGATCAAAAAATTTCATTGTCTTTCTCTTCATCTGACTCTGGTGACAGACCCCACGCTGCTCACTCCCACACCGCCCCTGCCCCTCTCAAACACTTGTATTTTAAGGGGGAGGTACATTACCTTTGGAGAAGACACTTTAACGTGGACGATAATTGGTGCTAAAGACGTCTTGATAAGTTGTGCAGGGTGATTGATAGTGTCTGCATCTAGGACAACCAGTTGTAAGGACCGTGCCAGCTCAAAGATTCTCTCAATCTCGCTCTGTACCTCGGCTAGTGAAGGAGAACAGAACAGGTGAAAGCCGTTCGACCCAGCAACGCCTGGACGGAAATATCATCGCCCAGTTACTGTCACGGACTGTGCACATTCAGTATGTGAACTCCATACGTGAATTAGTGTAATTTCCATAAAATAGCCTACTACTCAAGGCAATTTTTGTAATAAATATTACCTCGGAGACAATTCTGTTGCCTGAAAATACATACGTACTACGTTAATTTATGACATCAATGTATTTAAACATTGGGTACAATTAAATGCATGTTTCTATTAACAAAAAATAGACTGCGGCATATTTTCCAAATCTGCTAAATAGCTTAGGAGTCATAAGATTTTTTAATTTTAGACATCAAGTGATGTATGGATATTCCTTAAAACTTTTTTTTGTTCTCAGATTGTAATTCTGATTTAACAGGAGTCTGTCTCAAAAGCAGGACTGTGACCTCCTAATTCTATAACCACAAAAAATTGTTTATGTTAAGTAATTGACAGGGTATCATTTAAATAGACACTAATGGCAGTGTTCACACCAAAGCACTTTTGTCTGTAGAAAAAGGAGAAATTTATTTCCATGTAAATTATATTTCTGATATTTATTGTTCCAACCCTTCTTATTCACTCACATGCATGTCACAAATTGTAAAGAGATGAACCCAGCACAAATTGAGGCCTGTAAGTTATACCACCGAAGCACAGAAAAGCTGTATGTCAGCAACTCACGTGCATTTAATCTGCCTAAGAGCTGTTCCCCAGCGCAACGCCTGCTCACAGGCACAAGAAGATTTAGTACTCACCCCCGCAGCGCTTCATTTTGGGGTGCCTAGCCCTGTACTAGAATGGCTAGACAGCAAAATTCAGCTGTAGCTGTTCAACTCTACATACAAGCCCAGTCCCAGGGTCAGGAACAACGTGTCTGCTCCTCGGCTGGACAAGGTGGAAGCCCTCTGGCACCCTGTGATGCGGAATTAAAAGCACAGGGCTGAGAGGAGGGAGCTGTGAGGCCAACTCACCGTGGGAGCAAACAGCACTGAACCCATATTCTGACTGCAGGCCCCTAGCTCATCTTTTGCAAACAGCAGCTATTACTCACACTGCTTGCTCTAGCCCAGGTAACTGCTCAACGCGAGGCTCACTCTGTTGCCCCCCCTCAGTCAGGATAAATTTGTCTCTGGGTTGAGTATGTGAAATTCAGAATTCTACATCAGAAGGCTGCAGACACATCTAAGATTGAAGAACCGATGACATCTTGAAGGTGGAAATCCTGTCACTCCCCTGCAGCACGTAACCATGGTCAGAATGACATCTGTGTCAATGTCTTACCTAAACTGGATCTTGTATTTGACCGCTCAATTATTGCCCTCTTGCTTGGATTATTTAGAACAGACCTCTTAGCAAGAGAAATGTCAGCTGTCACTCTAGTTATTGATATCCTATGAGTAAGAACACAGGACAGAACAAAAACATAGTCAAATTTTCAGCGCACTGTGCATGATTTACAGCTACAATCCATTCCAAAGTGCAAATACGATAAAACACCACTCCGACATGTTTTATAGCTGAGTTATGTCACCATTAAAGAACAACTAAAGAGAAATGCGGCGTAACTGTAAAGCATTTTCTATTCCCTACA